CCCCATCATTATCGAGGAGGATGAGGATAGGCTTTTGGAAAGGTTTTTTCTTTTTCTTCTGAACAGGCTCCTCTTGATGCTCGGGGAGAGGGATGGGGTAGTTGTTCCACCATTCTATTTTTTCTTGCTCGAGGATTTTTTCAAAAGTCGTGGCCTCTCTAAGATGAGACGAAGGAGGAGAGTCCTCGAGAAGAATATAATAGGTATTCTTCCCAGTCTTCTCGATCGAGAGAGGTTCGTGCAAACATTTATGTGCAACCATTCACTAAAATGAACGAGAATCCCTTTTGTCTTCTCAAGACGATCCATAATCCTATTCATTTGCGAGACGGTTAGAAAGTGGGACGTGTAAAAATATTTGGCTCGTTTCATTAACAAAATTTGTGCATCCAAAGGTGGAATGTCACGAGCCATCAACACGTTTTCGTCGGACAAAAATTCGTCCCGCATCTTTTGATAACTCCCCACGGTATAATAACCCGCACATTTTGAAAAATCGGAGGCTTTCAGGTAAACGACTCCTTGGATGATATAAAAGGAAAGATCAACATATTTATATTTGAAAGGAATACACGTAGTGAGCTGGGGATGCCTCCTCATGATCCACTTGGACAAAAATACGACTTTGGGGCTCTCCCCTTTTATTTATAGAGAGAAAGAGAGTGTGACCTTCCCTTCCCTCCTCCTCCTCTCCCTGCTTCCTCTATCTCTGGACGTCCTTGGATTGGAAAGGGTTGACTTTGAAAAAAAAAAGAAGGTCATGGTTGGATAATTTTTTGTTTATTAAATTATTACTTTCACTTCCTCATTCCCACACACATTCATCTTTTTAAGAAAAGAAAAAGAGGTCATGGAGATAAGATTTCTTGGAAAGAAGAGAGAGAGAGAGAAACAAAAAAAAAAACAAATAAAACGGACGTCATAGAGCCTCTATGTGTGTCTGTGTGTGTCTATATAGATATATAAAAAGACGAGAGTACTGGGCGAGATCATTTCTTTTCCATTGGGAGCCATGTCGCTATTAGACGTTTTTCCAACTCAACGGATTTCGAACGGGGAGGATTTGAAGACGCTAAAGCAAATCTCCAACTTGAAAATTTTTTTGGCGTGTCATTGTGCGACATTTATTCCGCATTTACCACCTCATCAAGCGATCGTTTCTTTCAACCAAGATGTCGAATCCTCCAACCTGCTCGTTCAGAATATATACAGAAATTTATTCGAATCGCAACAAAACGAAAGAGGAATCTCCCTTCTCTTGGAATCGGATGGATCGAGCTTTGAGACGGCCCATTCAAACAGACCGGCGATATACAGATCCGCGCACGAGTTTTCGGTGGAAGAATATTTTTCTCACGAAACGATATTTTACGTTTGGAGTGAGAACGACGGCTGAGGACGAAGTTCATATTGTTCAAACCACAGCCGCTCCTCTCGCCTATTACGAATCATCGTCCCCCAATCTGAAGGAAAGAAGTTTTAAAGTCAGCGACAGGATGAAATATAAGAAATATATTCTAAGACCTTTTCAAAACTATGTCGTTCCCCCGAAAACGCAATATCTCATCGTCACAACCCAGAAGAGTCTCTTTCTCGTCGATCGGTGCTCGTACTCGCTTTGGAAACAATTGAAAGAGGAGATTTCTTTCCAATCGCCGATGATGTTTCAAGAAAAAGAAGAAGAAAACCCTCCGCCACCTTTACCCATCCCTTCCTTAGATGATAAGAGGAGCTGGACCAAACCGTTATTTCCCGAAACAAAATCGACCCGGCAACGGAATGAAATTGAAGTCATCACAATTGAAGATGAGGAGGAGGAAGAAAAAAAAATTACCTCTTAAAAAACGGTCGACTTACCGGAACCTACCTGGCGTGCAAGATCCGCTTCAGAATCCAGAAGCTTCTTCTTCTTCTTCTTCTTCTTCCCCGACTTGTTCAAACAGGCAACCTCTTTCGGACTCCTCACAGACAGAACCTCTTCCAGTATCCTCTTCTTCTTCTTCTTCTCCTCCAACCTGTCCCGACATCGTAGAGGTAGAATGTCAGACGGGTCCACAAGCTTCAAAAAGTCCCGACATCGTAGAGGTAGAATGTCAGCCGGGTCCACAAGTTCCAACAGGTCCAGAAATCATGGAGGCAGAATCACAGCCGGGTTCACAAGTTCCAACGGGTCCAGAAATCATGGAGGTAGAATTTCAGCCGGGTAAACAAGTTCCAACGGGTCCAGAAATCATGGAGGTAGAATCGCAGCCGGGTCCAGACATCCTAGATCCCTCCACTCATCCCAAAGAGACTCCAAGTGTTTCAAGACAGCCTTGTGAGGATCCAGCCCTTCCCGTATGGAATGATTATATGGACTTACAAAATTTGGTGCAACAGGAAGGAGAAGAAAAAAAATAATCATACGGATGGGTGGGTCAAAGACTGTTTAGATCATTTAACCTCGAATGAAATTGAACTGTTATGGAATTGCATTTCTGAAATCACATCGGAAATGGGATAAAAACCAAAACAAAAAAAAACAATTTTTTTAATAACAAATTGGAGGAGGGTCATGATGTCAATTAAAAAAAATATTATATAGAGTCCAATCTTGGTGGTTCACTTCAGTTTTCCAGCATGAGGTGATCCACGTTTCCCGAAATATGGATCCCATTCCAAGAGAGATTGTGTAGAGCCTTCACTTCAGTTCTTTTTTTTATACCAAGAGGAGAGGGTCCCCAAAGGGCTACCCATGTCCAAAGAGAGAAAGTGTAGAGCGTTCATTTCAGTTTTTTTTCCAAGTTTAGGGGAGGGAGGTCTCAAAATGACACCCCCCATTTTCAAAGAGAGATGGTGTAGAGCGTTCATTTCTGTTTTTTTCCAAAGTTAGGGAGTTTTCAAATGGCTACCCATTTCAGAGAAAGAGAGAGAGAGAGAGAGAAGGTGTAGAGCGTTCATTTCAGTTTTCCAACATTAGAAGGTCCCAAAATACCTTCTGAATTCAAAGAGAGATCGTGTAGAGCGTTCATTTCCAGTTCTCCAAGATCAGAAGAAGAGGGTCCGCTTTTCCCAAAAGGGCTTTCCGCATTCAGAGACAGCGAAATGCAGACTTCAGTTTTCTCCCTCCCCAAGAATAGAGGGTCCCAAAATGGCTTCCCATTTCAAAGAGAGAGGGAGAGGCGTTCATTTCCATTCTCCAAGATAGGGTCGTCTGCTTTTTCCCAAAATGGCTTCCCAATTCAAAAAGAGAGAGAGAGTAAAAGGGTGTGTAGAGCGGTCATGTTCATTCTCCAAGATAGGGTCGTCAGCTTTTTCTCAAAATGGCATCTCCCCATTCAAAAAGAGATCGTAACCAATTTTTTCCAGTTTTTTCCAAGATGGGGGGGAGAAGAAAACCTAGGATGGAATAACACGACACACAGAGAGAAAGAGAAAAAAAACGCCATCTTGTCATTTTCTGATAGGGTACCGGTGTTCGAATACTTTTGTGACCGACTGTACACCTAACACCTCGTCCACAATTTTCTATACAATTCATTAAAGATAGTTCCTGAAACATAACTGACTTAAGAGAAACATATATACTTCTAGTTTATGCACAATAATTTTTCAAACATTGATTTCAGGTAAAGAGCTACATGTATTATATCAAAGAAAGAATGAATAAGTGTAATTTGCCTTTATCCTACAAATACTTAAAAACATTTACATTAAAAAAAATGAATTATACATAATGGTAGCAAATTTTTAATGAAAAACAAAACAAGAGTTGAAAACTTAATGCAGTTTTTGTCAATATTTTACTCTCTTAAAATTTATATAAATGTATAGAAACTTGAAATATATACTGCATTTGGCTGGAAAACTTGTGGTATTGTGCTGCACTCTAGGAAAAGGGGAAAAGTATACAATGAAGCAATCATAAGAATAAAAGATATTTGCATATTATTGAAACCACCTTAATAAAAGTTACCAAATTTGCCTGCATGGAAGACTAAGGAAAACTTAGTATTCATGTTATACATTAAAAAAAATGAAGAAAACACTCATGCAGCTAGCTTTTTCACCTGGATTTAAAGAGAGACTGGGATACCGGTGTTCAGCAGGCTTATCTGCTTGTACATAGATGGGCTTATTAATTACTATATAATTCAAGAACTAGTTAATTTTCACATGGTAAACATGCCTACTGTCACTGAAGAATCATGCATCTGCATTGAACAATAAAAATATAACACAAATTTGAATTTTAAATTAAACTTACTATTAGAAGAATTAAAATCAAATGTAATTTGAAAATGGGAAAAAATGTGGTTTATATTTGAAAAAGCAAGGATTTTTGTCTGAAAAGTAAAATATATTTTAAACACACCTGTTGCTCTAGATTACTTTGGAGGGAATTTTCGATAGGAAAATAAAACTCGAAAATTGTTGTTTCGAAAGTAAATAAAGTTGTACACATTAAAAGAAATATACATGTCTGCATATTTCTTTCGTTTTCAGGGCTGGAACACGTCGTTACACCATACTACAACGCAGTAAACACTTGACTCAATAAGCTCAGAGAAATCATGGGAACTGATGTTTTTTGTTTACATCGACACGCAGTCTCATTGGATATTGATGTAGTTTATCGGACAAGCTCTCCTGGCAAGAGAGCAAACCAGTTCCCTATTGCAATTTTGACGTCTTCAGTTACCAGAGCGGTAAAGCGTTGCAGTTGAATTCGACTTTAGCAGACGATAGCAGGAACGCCTCTTGCGACTAACATTTGCAATTTATCAGAGCATTGCACTTGAATTCGCCCCTAAGTTGGTTTATTACGGTACTAGAAGGCTTGGTCTCGGAGGTATCCTAAACAGGAATTCTGCAGAGAAATTTATCATTGTATTTTATGATGAAAATTTATGACATATTTCATAAACAAAAATAGAAGTAAGAAATAAAATATAATGAACAGCAAAATATTCTTATGACGGAATAACAGAGTATTGGTTAAAAGCTGTTAAGAAGTCTGGCAACACAGCCTTTGGATTTTGCTAACTTTTAAATGTTTATTATTAGAGTTCACGTTTTTTAAGTTAACATGTATAGTCTAAAATTATTAAAGAATTTTTTGCATTTAAATATTGTAAGACAAAGAGATATATCTAGTACGAAAATATTATGTGGAGTCTCTCCTATAAAAAGTGTTTTAAGTGTTCCTCAAAAGCATAATCAATTTCTGTGGATTGTTAATCGGAAATTAAGTAACAATTCCGATGTTGCTCGAGCATTCACTTGTTTTAAATACTTGAGGCTTATCAAAGCGAGAGTAAGAGGTGATCTTTCTCATATTATATAATGAAAATATTCATTTATGTTCTTTTTTTTTCATATCTTGTATTTGTGTTTATAATTTATGAAAAATGTATGTGAAGTTTGCCCATAATTATTATCTTTCCTCTCTTCCCGCATGTAGTCTTAGGTAAAATCCTAGTATGCCTTGGCGCGACTTTGAAAATTATCGCCAACACCAAAAATGATCCAAAGAACGTCTATATATAAATATACTATACACACATAGTACATGTATATACACACGTAGTATATATACTATATACATAGTATATACTATGTTTAACTGTATATTTTCTTTGAATGACCCGTTAACTACTCATCGTATATGTCCTGTTTTTACTGCTCATCATAAAGTCGCCAAAAGTAACCAAATCCCGTGTGCACCGGATAATATAATCCTATTCTAGTCCTAACCTAGTCTTGTATATTTTGTAATGTCTGAAGCTACACAAGAAAAAAAACTTGCGGAGTTCCTTCCTGTTTGAGAATCGCTAAATTAGAGAATTATCCTTTTCTCATTGTTCTTTAAAAATATTATTTGTCTATTTTCATTTTATTGTAATGTGCGATTTTTAATTGTCAGCCTTCTACTCTCTACAAAATTATGTTAGTGAGCCATGATATTAATCTTTGACAGACTTGCATGTGCCCTTGACAACTTTCATTATCATTTAGTTAAAAGCATGAAAGCATTTTCAAACCAGTTTGTAGTAATATACTATTCGGTTTCAACGGCCGTAAAAAATCACCAAACTATTGTTGATGCCAATGCTGAAAAAATAATTGCGGCAAGAAAGGAAGTATAATAGTAAATAAAAATTTAAGATTGATGTTTTAATTTAGATGAAAGGTTAATTTCATATAATACTTTTTTATTATTATAATTTATATGAAAACAGGCTAAACATGACTGAATGGAAGCATAAGAGTAAATAAATATTTCAGATCATTATTATAATTTATATAAAAATTGCTAAACATAAATGAATGGATGCCTGCATCGCTATTTCGCTAACGACTTATTGCTAAAGCATAATTTCATCTCGTTGATTGTTCAAATGTAATTTTCTATAATGAATGATGCCTTTTCTTTGAAAATATTCTCGGTAAAGTGCAGAATAGCTCACTTATTTTTTGCCGCTTTTTACATCGGTAAAAACAATTGGATTTTTGTCAATTTTCTTTTACTTTTTAAGTGAAAATTGGTCGATGTGCACATAGCTAAAGTCAAGGGTGTGCGCAGTGCAATTTTTTTGCAATTCTAGGATTTGTTTTAAGTGAAAATAGGTCGATGTGCACATGGATACCGAGTAGTTGCAATGCTTAAAAATGCGTCAAGCAGTTTTTGATTCTGCCACTTTACCCAAAATTCTATTGCCAACTTTTCGACATGGGCAATTCCCAAATTGTTAAATCCATAGGATATCAAAAAAGGATTTAAAAATTAAACTAGTATTTCAATGGCGTCTTAACAACCCCTTCATGCCGACTGTCACGTCTACGTGTCAGCAACGAACACACTCACTTCCCGGCCAACACACAGGCGTGTTGGCGTGTTTTGATTATATAAACAAAAGGGGAAATAAATCTTTCCGAATGACGTGCTTTATGACGTCTCTTTAAATTCGCACCTGGTAGTTGTTTATTGTAAGTAGAGAAGTTTTATTTTTGCTAAAGCGTTGGGTATTTCGGTTTGCAGTTCAGTATTTAGAAAATAATTAAATCTTGTTAGACGTGAATTCTTTCTTTTTTTACCGTTGCAATGTTGAAGCGTCAAAAATGTTTAACAGAGCATGAAATAGCAGAAATGATGCAAAATATTTCAGATATTGATTCTGAAACAGATTCTGATAGTAGTGATAGTCATACTATGTAACGTAGTATCACTATCACATTTTCCAAAACTTTGTTTAGAAGAGACTGATAAGAAAATGAGACGACGATGCTTCGTTTGTTCACATTCCTGGAAAAATCCTCCAAAATGGCAAATGAGTTATTACGAGTGCAAGGAATGTAATGTGTAGATCCCTGTTTTCAAATTTTTCATACGAAAAGAGAATTTTAAGTAATATATTTAGTTTTCAGATGTATAATGTTAAAAGTCATAAAATGGTTAGTAATGAAAATAAAATGTGTAAAATATGCATTTAAACAAGAAATAAGGTAATTAAAGTATATATATAAAAATATCTATAAAGCATAAGCCGATTAAATACTCTATAGAGCATTATTAAACAATGCGTTGATATTTCGGAAATTTCATGGATTTAGGCTTAATAGCAGAAAAGCCCCCGGCCCTGGACAGACGCTCGCGTAAGACACTGCCGGCCTCCGCGATAAGCGCGCGTTTGCTTTACCCGGCGCGAAGGGGTTAAGAAATATAGAACTATATAAACTTACGCAATCTGAAATCAGCATGCTATTAGATTTGGCCCGCTGTTGAATGGGCGCGTTTGCTAGATTTGGCGCTTTTGCGCATACATTTTTGCTGCAATTTTTTTATGGCCCTCGAAATCGAATAGTACCTATTTTATATTATCATTTTCAGATTTAAACTGAAAGAATGAGTGAATACTAAGTAATTTTGGCTAAAGTGCAGAATCGCCCACTGTGCCAAGTTGACGATTTTGAAAAACACGCCAAGCATGGGCGATTCAGCACTTTCCCGGAGATTATACAGTCAAAAGTCGTTAATTCAGACGCCCATAATCCGGAATGATCTATAATCCGGACCTCAAAGCTACAAACTTTCTGTGCATGCGTCGCATTGACGCATTTGCGTAAGACCTTTACGGCTGCAAATATGCGTGTGCGCATGCGCAAAATCCGTTTACGAATGCGCGTTTAATGTATAACGGACGGTATAAGCTAAAATTATATTATTATCTATTTCAGTTAATGTTGCAGATTGCGTTGTTCCTTAATCTTCGAATTGGATCTAGCTTATTATTTTCTGCAGACTGTTAGAGCAATTTTATAAAAGTAAGCTTGAACTTTCGATTATGTCAAATAGAATTTCTGATATATATTTACTGATATGTAAAGGATCTACAAAGCGGAAGTATGTTTCGAAGTCCATTAAAAAAAAGTGGAATTGCTCCAAAAAATGGATAAAGGCATATCCTTTGTTTATCTAACCATTCCGAAATCTGTTTATCAATTTCACGTTGCTATGCGACAGGGGGGGGGACGCCGTGGGGCGCAATGGATTGGAAGTTGATCTGTCAACACTATCCTTATCTTCAGGGCAGATGTTTTTATTTTATTTGGCTTATAATTCCTTACTAAATGTAGTATTTCATCTCGGTGTACTCCATCTTTGATATGATTTAAATCAAATTCCTCGTCATTATAATTTGCTTCCGATAGCAAAGAAAGTGACATAGAGGTTGTTGAAAACGAAAAAATTTCGATTAACAAATTAGTCGGTATTCTTGACACAGCAATTATAGGACTTGAACAGCGGAACTTTGTAACTGAACAAGAAATTATGTCTGTTTATAGAAGTAAAGAGAAAGTATTACAGTCAAAAGTCGTTAATTCGGACACCCATAATTCGGAATGATCTATAATCCGGACATCAAAATTAAAACTTTCTGCGCATGCGCCACGTTGACACATGCGCAGAGGCGTTCACGCGTGCGCGTAAGACCTTTTACGACTGCGCATGTGCAGAATACGTTTTCGCGTGCGCATTTTATGTATAATGGACGTATAAGCTAAAATTATCTATTTCAGTTAATGTTGATGATTGCGTTGTTCCTTAATTTTCGAATTGCATCCGGCTTATTATTTTTTGCAGACTGTAAGAGCAATTTTATAAAAGTAAGCTTAAACTTTCGATTATATCAAATAGAATTTCCGATATATATTTGTTAATATGTAAAGGATCTAAAGCGAAAGTATGTTTTGAAATCCGAAATCTGTTTATCAATTTCATGCTGCTCGGCGGCGGGCGCCTAATGAATTGGAAGTTGATTTGTCAGCACTATCCTTATCTTCAGCGCAGATGTTTTTATTTATTTGGCTTATAATTCCTTACCAAATGTAGTATTTCATCTCGATATGCTCCATCTTTGATATGATTTAAAACAAGTTCCTCGTCATTATAATTCGCTTCCGATAGCGAAGAAAAGTGACAGAGGTTATTGAAAACAAAAAAATTTCGATTGACAAATTAGTCGGTGTTCTTGACACAGCAATTATAGGACTTGAACGGCGGAACTTTGTAACTGAACAAGAAATTATGTCTGTTTAATAGAATTAAAGAGAAAGTATTATCACATGAAACGAAGCAAAACTTAAACAACTTACATTGAAAGAAATTTTTAATAAAGTAAACAAATAAATATTAAGCTTTTTCTTTTTGCAAATTTTGATACCCTTTAGATCATAATTGTTCTTTATTTCATAAATTACGGTTTCATATTTTTTATTTTAGAATTTCTGCATGCCATCTTACGAGATTTAAACTGATGATCTATAATCCGGAATCGCCGAAGTCCCGACGAGTCCGGATTAACGACTTTTGACTGTATCACATAAAAAACGAAGCAACTTAAACAACTTACATTGAAAGTAATAAAGTAAACAAATAAATATTAAGCTTTTTTTTTTTTTTTTTTTTTTTTGTAAATTTTGATACCCTTTAGATCATAATTGTTCTTTATTTCATAAATTACAGTTTCATATTTTTAATTTTATAATTTCTGCATGTCATCTTACCAGATTTAAACTGATGATCTATAATCCGGAAAAATCGATAATCGCTGAAGTCCCGACGAGTCCAGATTAACGACTTTTGACTGTATCTGCTTTTGTATGTCCACTTGTTGTTTCTCTAGTAATCTGTACATAATGAAGATTGTTTCTGTTTTAAAATCAATGGACCCACAATCGATTAGCTACAGAATTTTCATTTGTGTTGCCTTTTTCATTCTGAATATGATTAAAAAATGTTCTTGCTTTTTTCATTATTTCA